AAAAGCATTTAGCCCACTTAAAAGTGTCATGCACGCACACCTCTCGTTTTGGCATGGCCTATGGTCTCAAACTGCAGCAGAGAAAATTTAGGTTGGAGATTAGGAGGAACTTTTTGACTATGAGGGCAGTCAAGCATTGGAACAGGCTACCTAAGAAATTGTGGAAGCTTCATCCTTTGAAGTTTTCAGGAGCAGGTGTGACAGACACTTGGCTGGGATGGTTTAGTTGGGGATGATCCTACCTTAAGCCAGGTGCTAGACTAGATGACCTTGTGCAGTCCCTTAGGGCGTCTATACATGTGCAGTGAAGCTGCTGGAGTGTGGTAGTTACTGCGCTCTAACAGACTCCAGCGTCTTGTGTATCAGCATCCCTGCGCTGAAAAATGGTGGTGGGGGACTTTAACTAAAGCTCATTGAATAAGCTTTAGTTAAAGCACCCCCACCTCTATTTTTCAGTGTGGGAATGCTGATACATGAGACACTCCAGGTGTTTTAATTAGAGCGGCTCTTGGAGTATATACACACCCTTACAGCCTTTCTTGCCTAAGTTCCTGTGACTGTTTCCTCACTTTACTATAGACACATCTGTCACTATACTGTAGGGATATGTATAATTTTAGGAGTACTTTGAAAAGGTGGAGTAGAACTGCTTTTACAGTTTCTGATCAGCCACATGTGCCCTTTGACCTGTGTGTCATTGTTATCCCATAGTTTAGGTGCTTTTAAAATAGTGACTGGGCTCTTCCTTTATTCTTGTCTGTAAAATCATGGCATGGAATTTACAGACATGTAAATGTCTAGCAGCTAAGATCCAAAGTATATCACTAATTTCCCTGTAGTTTAATCATTTAGTTCTTCTGTCAGTAGTGTATGGAAGATTATAGACACTGAATGCTTTTCACGTTAGGTGTGTCACCTACTTATTTAAAGAAAGTAGCTTTAAATTTGTTTGGAGAGCTTCAGGCCATAGAAAACCCCTAGATGAAAAATTCTATCATTTGTAATATTGGAAAAGGATATCAAGCCTTACTTTTAAGACGAAGGAAATCTGTGATGTTTGTCTAGAATGACTGATTTCTGATCTCCATCAGAGGACAAGCAAATTTCTTTCGGGGTAAAAATTAAAGATGACACATTTTGACATCAGATTCAATTTTGCAGAACCCTCATCAGCTTGCTTTTGGCTTTATAACATGGAAACCAAGACTAATTGAAAACAGGGTCCAAATTTACCAATTTCTGTCACTTCCTCAGCTTCAGTGAGGGCTGGATATATTATTCCGTTTTGACTACCTCCGATTAAAAATGAAGCCCTTGTTGTTTTGGTTTTGTAAAACCCAATCCAGTGTTTATTTTACCCAAATTCACAAAATGGAGTAAGGGAATGGACTTCAGATAAATACCGGCAGATTGTAGTTTTTATAAAGCCTCTCTTTCTCAATTCCTTGTAGGTGTATTGTTTACCTTGGTAATAGTTGTACCCCAGCTAAAAAGTCAGTTTAACCAATGTGACAATTATTTTTTCTCTCTGATTATGTGTGGTATGTAGTCAATATACTGTTATAATGTGAGTGTAATTTCCTCTCTTATTTTATCTCCACTGCACAGTATTATAAATAAACAGCTTTAAAAAAAAAGAAGAAAAAGAAAAGCACCAAACAAATCTGTTGCTTCTTCTTTTAAGATTGTACCACTGTAGACACTTGTTCTAGTAAAGTAGAATTGGACCCACTTGATTGCATTTAAATTTTTCATGCTTCAGCAGTTTGGCTGGGAGCACAGTAAAGAAAAACCCCACGAGCGAGGATAGTTTAGAATAATAGAACTTGATTTTGTGTATTATAGCGGCACCATTTGCGCTGCTTAGTTAGGGTTGTGTCAGCACTTCCATTATAAACCCCTGTTTCCAGGGGTTATAACTAGGGAGACATTTTTTTAACAGAAATTAAAAAAAAAAGAATCATTTGACTGAATTTAATTTATAATGGAGCAATAATAGAATACAGTAAGATATCATGGAAACAATCAACGTGCCTAATTTATTTTTTAATACTGAAATTCTGACGTATTATGGATTATGGTAAATGCATTTTTAAACGTATTTTAACTTTAAAATTTAATGCTATTAATGTTTTAAAATTAGCTACTATTTAAACTCATTTTTCAGTATTATTATTAACTGAACAACTGGTTTTATAGGTTGAATAAATAAGATTACTGTGATGGTTCCTTTTCTCTCCCCTTTGCTTCAATGGGAGCATTTGACCAGACTTCAAAGAAATTATTGGTTATATTTTATCTTTGGTTAGGGCTTGATATTGTAATCTTATTTGTGCAAGACTCTTAATGAAGTAAACTGAACTTCCACATGATCATAATATGGAGAAGTTGATGCTTGTATTACTATTTAATCTAAGACAGAAAAGGGAAACAACATTTTTGGGGAAGCATTGAAGCTACTAGGTATATAGGATTGTGCTCATACTGGTATAATTTAGAGATAACAAATTCTCTTCTATATAGTTAACTTTAAAAAGTAATAATATAGATATGTATATAAAATATGGAAAAGGAAGAGTATATGATATTTAATATTGGGGGCAGGGGGAGAAGCTTCTACTGTACTGCATTCCAAGTAGGTAGCTTTACTGACTGGTCACTTGAGGAATTACCAAAGCCTGTTTATGAAATAGAGGTGAAGCCTTTCTAGACTAATTATATTCAGCATGTAATTTCTAAACTTCACTCTGAATTTTGATTTTCAATTAACATTCCCAATTTGAAGATAATTTTCTATTTAATGTAATTGCAGGAAATAATTTATTGGCTGATTAAGACTGAGGGCCCAGCCTTCCTTAAGAAAACATTCCCTAACAAACCAGTCTTTAAAGCCAACTCATAGGTTTGGACAGAGTTTGCCTATTTTCACAGCTGCACAGTTGTGTTTAATTAGGATTGTGAACTATTATTCATTGGTGCAGTTTGTAGTTGAAATTATTCTTAAGAGACATTTTCAGTTCTGGTTTTGTGTCATGATTAATTTATACTAAAGAAACAACCATGGCTGTTGCATTGGAAGAAGCTTGTTCAGTTTGTAACAGGAATGGTGTTTATTAAGGAGGTGAAAGTCAGTGGAAATCCTTTATTGTGATTTTTAGTTTTAATGCTCAGTTTACAAATCGCATAAAACCATATTAAGTTTATTTATGTTTTCGTGTGAATGGTTAAATCAACATGAATTTTAATCAGGAAAGTGGAAATAAATTTCTTATCTTACCGTAGGTCACAGAAATAGAAACCGGAACCCCTTGAAATACATAGAAAAATCAGCTCTTAGCTTGTTCCTTGCATCACAAACATTTATTCTTTCAGTGTAGTAGGATGGTTAACACTGTGTTTAAAATCATTGGTTTTTCTCATTGACAACTTTAATATTGGGCTCCCACTTATACTTAGTCAGGTTCCCTTAACGGAAATACAAACCTTTTTTCTCCTACTAGTATCAAGTTTAAGAGGCAGGATTATCACTATTTATAGACTGTTTTTTCTAAATAGGTATCAGCATTTTAATATGTTTCAAAGCACTTCAAAGCTTGTAATACTTTTATTTAGAACTGTGCATAATTAGATTAGCTGATCCTATATTAATTTTTTTCATTGTAGGATACTAAATCTGAGTCCCCTCATTAATTGTGAGAAATTTAGCATTAGCTGTTAAATCCTATGTGAAACATGGGCTGGCTGCTACATAAAAACTACTGTTTAAATTGGAATTAACTTAATTATTTTTCTTTGCACTTGATATTTCCTTCACTGTAATATTCATGAAAGCATGTGACAGATTTGTAAATTTAACTGTTAGTTTCAGATTTCCAGACCCTTTAATCAGTATTTATTTGTCTGTAGAAACAGTACTAGCAAGTTAATGATTTGCTAATTTGAAAAATGCTCATGTGGTTTCCTATGTTAACTGATTTGTGCATTTTTAAAGAAATGGTATGAAATCAATTATTGTTAAAGAGCAATTAAGGTGGAGATCTTATTCCTTAGTTCCACAGCAATTTCAGTATTAAAGATATTCTAAAGTTACTAAAAACTGGCAAACTGGCAAAATGTCTTATATAATATATTTTAGCTGTCCTTTCAGGTTATTAACAGCTGCTATAATAGTTGCAGTTAGTTTCATTAGAAAATGTATAAATGTATTTTAGAATTTTGAATTGAAGTCATTTATAGTTTAATTCAAGTACAGGGACTATACTCAAGCTGTGCTTTGCATATGGAATGGCATTAAGACGCTATTATTGGGAAAATGACATTTTAAATAAATAAATAAATATACTTATTTATTAGAGTTTTATATTCACATTTAACCAAATTCTTTTCAAAGCATTCTATCTTGCATTTGATGTCTAATATAAAATAAATATAGAAATGTAATTATTTTGGGTAGTTAAACTATAGAAGATTGCCTTAAGATAAATTCAGTAAACCACTTACAGTTCCTTGACACCCTTTACATTAATATCTCAGGACCTTTTCAAAAGATACTACTAGATACTAAATTAAAAATTAGGAAAAAGTATTATCTTTTTTAGGAAAACCGACAAAACAAAAATACTTATTTGGAATAAGTTGGCTGATGCCCTAGAAAGGAAACCAATTCTTAAATGTAAATCTATGAAGGAAACCAATTCCACATGCACGGGACAAAATAAACAAAGAGCCTGGGATGTGATCATGTAAACTCCTTATCAAAGATGTATATCCAGATGGCACAGTGTTGTATAGAAATATCTTTAATGCCACATTCAGAGATTCTGAAGAGCCTGTTTGTTGGCCAAGGGCCTGATCCAGGTCCTTCAAACCCTTACTCCTTTGAGTAGTCCAATTGACTGCATTGGCACTGCTGGAAGACTAAGGACTGTCTCTAATGTTGCATATTTAAGCTTAACCTTAACAATAAAATCTTATGTTTGCCATCTTTTGTTGTCTTGCAGAAGAATGTCTTCCAAGCAGGCCACCTCTCCATTTGCCTGTGCAGCTGATGGAGAGGAAGCAATGACCCAGGACTTAGCATCACGAGACAAAGAAGAGGGAAACAATGATCAGCATGCGACCTCTCATCTGCCTCTGCACACCATAATGCACAACAAGCCTCACTCTGAGGAACTACCGACTCTAGTCACCACCATCCAACAAGATGCTGAGTGGGACAGTGTTATCTCAGCCCAGCATAGAATGGTAAGTTTCTTACTTATAATGGTTGCTTTCTTAAAGTAAACAAATTCCAAAAATGCTTTGCCTTTCCTTTTGAAACTTTCTAATTAGTAAGATGTCAAAATCGGTAATATGTCAATATTAATATGGTGTAATTGTAAATTACAGTTGTATAATCTTATTAAGTATACAGGTGTATTTGAATGAGGTCATCTGATGAGTTCACCTTCAGGAAGGAAATGCATCTATTTTTCATGTTTTCAGTCATCCTTTGATTTATTTTATAACCTCTCTACCTTGTATACTTTTGCATTAATTTCAGACAGAAGAGTGTAGCTCATAACTATCTGTCATCTGCAAGAGTCTGCACTGAAGGAAGAAAAACCTTAATATGTTTCTAAAGTAGGAGCTGCTCCTATTTATAAAATGTATTCAACTTCAGATAATAAATCTTATGTTGGTTTCTTCTCTGAAACTCACCAAATATAGAACATTGATAGTCTGCCACCCTACCAGGGAGGTTGGCATCTGGGGTGACACCACAATTCATTTCATTATATCGGAAATTACGTCTTTTTTTGTGAAAGGTTTAAGGAACTGGTAATTGCATATCAAGCCTTTTCCCTAAGAATTCAAATCCCAACACTTTTGTTGACAATCAAACGTTGTTGCCATCTCCTTTGTGGTTTATATAAGATGATTTTGGGTTGTCAGTTCTGGATAGACATCAGTATCCCAAAAATTCTGTTATGATTTAAATTAGTTGGTAGTTTCAGCAAAGGCCAAAAGGTGAATGGGCATTCTTTCTTTGAATTTCTTATCCTTATATTTGTCCCTTCTGAACAGAACTAAGAGTCTTGTTACATGCTATACTTTGAGCTGCATAAATGTTTATTGGTATTAGTCTTAGCTTGAGTTTGGAGCAGTCACATGTTCAGGCCATCAAGGGCGGGGAAGCAGGGAAGGGACTTGCTTGCTATGTACAGTGCTGCAGTCCAGCAGGCCTGCCCCCTGTTCCCCTCCCTTCCCCCCAGACAGTGCAGGCAGTCACTAGTAAGGGGAGGAGGAGAGGGAGGTGAGCAGGGATCTGGGGTGCTCGGGAGGGCGGGGTGTTTACATTAAAGTGTGGCTTACATGGCTACACCTTAGTGTAATACAAGCTTCATAACACAGAGATAATCCTGCCCTGGAGTGACATAACTGAGCTACATAATGAGCACTTTAAACTAGTTTTGGGTGTCAGTGTGCGGACAGTCCAAGTGTTAAGACCTCCAGGAGCTGCCCAAAATTACTGTGTAAGAAGGCACTAAAACACATGGACCTGGTAGTTGCCCATGACTTTTTTCTTTGGGTGTAGAACTCTGTTCTCCAGATTCCTCCAGAGAGAGGTAGTTAGCTGTGTTTGTCTGAAGTCAGGGCAGATTTGCACCTTATAGACTAAATAAATTGGGGATGAATAAGCTTTCATAAGTAGAAGCTTACTTTATCAGATGCTATGAAGGGACTGTAGGAAGCAGAGCTTCTAATAGAAAGCAGTGATTACAATACAAACGATAGGGAAGAGGGCAGAAAAAGAAGGGGGCACTTTTGGGAGAGACAAAGTGGGTAGGAGAGAGAAAAACAAGACAGTTAACCCACTGAGGGAAACAGGGTTTATAGAAGTGAATCCAGGTAATAGGACAACAATCTGTAGTATTGGTCTAGACCATACATAACCCAATCCATTCTGTGAATTACATATTGTTCTGCAATTTCCCATTCAAGTTTTTTAAAGCTATCACCCAAGTATGTGCTTTTTGGTAGATAAACAACAAAAATACTTATTTCATAATTTGTTTAGAAAATAACAGTAGTAATGTTGGGATCCTTAATTCAGGAAGATTTATGATTTTTGGAAGGAAGGTGCTAAACAAATACTAAGTATTTTTGTAAAATTACTAAAACTTAATAAGAGAATATTGTTGACCTAGATGATATACATAGACCAGGAAAATGCTATCCAATCAGTGACCCATAAATTGTCTGCAGAACCTACTGTGGAATCACTAAGGGTCTGATGCTGCAGTCTCGAAGCAAGCAAAATTTTCATGGACTCATACTGCAAATATATTTGGCTACCTTTTTGTTACTTATTAATAGAAAACAGTGGCTTGGTTTGGGAAAGACAGGCTATGTTAGTCACAGAACACTAAGGTGCATTTATTACCTAAGTGATGTATATATACTACTTTGACTGATCCTAATTTACTTATATATTTTCTCAAGAAATGCAATAAGAAACATATCACAATTATTCTCAGATAGTTTCATTTTACTAAGGAAACTCAGGTTGACTGACTATATTGATAATTTCAATATATCTATATATAAAATGCAGCAGCCTTGTTCCTACTCATTCCAGTGGACACATGCTCTGGGGGAGGTAAAGTTTCCGAACATCAGTGCTGTTGATGAAATGACTGTGTCCTGTGAGAAATGAATTCCCAACCCTCTGGGAGTCCCTTGGGTATAGGCTGTTCATTCAGGTTGTTGCTGAGTTGACCCAAGTCAAAGTATTTGAGCCTCACATGACATGATCAAACATTCTGCTCACACAAATTAATTTAAAATTATTTTACATTTACAATGGCCAAATACAATTTCTGTGTTCTTTCTTTCTGAATGGCTATCATGTCAACACTTGCTTTACCTCTGAACAGCCACAAGCCACTCTCCCGCCTATCATATTTCAGAAACAGGTGCATGTACTGTGCTGGAGTGACTTAGCAGTTTGGGTTCCCTGGTTTCAGAAAATACTCCATCATATACTTAAATAAAGTTCCTGAAAATCATTTGTTGTTCCCACAACTCCCTGGGGACAAATCTAGCAGTCCCTATTTAGACAGATCTCAGCTGAATTAAGAGGAATTTTTGCTGAAGTATGAGCTGGATGTGACTTGCATGGCCAGACCAGAAGTGGAAATGGACATTGTAAGGCTTTACATCAGACCACTTGCATTTAGTACAGAACTATATTGTATGAAAAATGATTTCCCAGTTGGTCTGCTGTAAAAACTGGTACAGTTTAGCTAATTTTGGTAACTTTGGTGGTCATAACAGAAGTTGAAAATATTTTCAATTTCTTTTTAAATATTTAATGACAACAATGTGAGGCTATCACTCTGAACAAGGTGCTTAGTATTTTTAACAAAGAGCTAAATTATGCTTTCATCTTTTTCATGCAAATGTCATTAATATCCTGCTAATTGAATTGTTGTACAAGTCTGAAACTGCTCTGCCCTTGTGGCAGACATTGATTCTTCTGGCAAAGGGTTAAGAGAGTTCTGCTGACTCAGTGTGAAGGGTGATCCTTACCCAACCCTCAGGCTAGGGGCACAAATTAAACATAAACTGCTGTAAGTAATCAGAAACTGGTTCAAATCTGTAACACAACAGAAGTTCCGTGCATGTAAATCGCTTTCAAAATGGCCGAAACCAGTTTAAGATAAACCTGGATGGATGTAGTATCAGACTTAACTGATTTAGGTTAAATTGGTTTATTTTCTGTTCCATTTCCCCTCCAGATTCAAGCTGTCTGCTCCAGCAGAGCAGGGAGGAGGGCTCTAGTGCCCACCAGCTTCTGGCCTAGTCTACTGCAGGCATGTGGCTGCATTTCTGGATTCAAAGGCGTAAATTTCTGTTCACTTTCTTATTGGTTCAATCTGTGCAGCCAGATTAACCTGCAAAGATTGAATCGATTCAGCCTCAGGCTTTTTCACTGTTTGTACTCAGCTTCAGAGTTCAGAGTGGGTCTCTTAGGGGAGAGAAATTCTAACGGGTAGGCCAAGCAGTTGTGAGATAAGAAGTCTAGGAGCAATCAAATGTGGGGAGAAGACTTCAGCAGCATGCTGTTAATTTCTTTGCTTAAAAAAAAAAGCTGACTCCACAAGGGCAATTAGTTTGGGATGATTTCCAGAGTGTAAGCTTTATTTTAGAGCCAGTTGGGAAAGACACCTGCTTATAACTTCCTTCACTGAAAATAAGAACCATGGTGGCACCACTAACATACGCTCTGTGGGTAACAGTGGTAAAGTAAAAGGGTGCTGCATCCTCATATGTTAAGGAAAAATTTTGCCTTTAATATCGTCTCTAATTAAGGATTCAATTCTGAATTAACTGTGTACTAAAATTTAGCGAAGACCACACTGGGAATTTGTGAGATAATATGTTATGTAGTAGGCAGCCTGATATGGCTCTGAGAAGAAAAAAGATACTGCAACATGAAAATTTGTCTGAAAAAAAAATGTAGATGTTTCCAGCATTTATTGCAGGCAACACTTCCTATAACATAAGATACCTTTAAATCATATTGTTCATTATCTTAAAAAAAAAAAAACCACACTGGCTAGAAATGTTTTCAAACTTTCACTCCCTTTTGATATCAGGCATTGCTTTCCACTGAGTCCTTTGTGTATTCTGAATGTCTGGAAGCCAAAATATTTTGTTTTAACTCCCACTCTATAGTATTTCCCAGCTGTGTACTTATATGGTGTAATAAAAAGATTTAACAAATGGGAAATAGCAGCTGCGTTTGGAAATTCCCTTTGTGCTCCCTTTTCATTTGACAGATTCAGCAATGTGTAACAACTGTAACGTCAGACCTGTAATGACTTATACTGCAAGTATCAGGTCACCAACCAATTTGATTTTACAGGCGGGAGGGCAGGGTAGACGAACCACTGGAAGAATCTGGGCTTGTAGTTTTCTGTAGCTGCAGCTGAGCTGGAGATATTATCACTTTATTTTTAAGTTTACCTTAAGTGCTTTGACCTCCAGCAGTTTTGATTTCATTTCTGTTTATAATTGTGCAAGAAAATACATATAATTCTAGGACAAGAACCTAAATACTCCATTTTTAAAATACACGTGGGGGAGGAAGGAAGGAAAGGGAGAATTACAAAAATGGTGCTGGCGTGAGGGTGCAGAAGCCACGCTTCTTTCTCCCATGTGGGAGGGATTAGTGAGCGGGACATATCATCG